CAATGACCCATTCTTTCTGAAAGGATGATACCGACTCCCTGGCATGCCCGCTCGGTCTCGTCTACACCAGACCAGTACACGGTATACATGCCATGTGTAGTGGCATCCTTTCCCTTCCGTTTCGTCTCATTTACACATAACACGTCTATTCTTCTATCATACATCATATCGCATACTTCATCCATCTTATCATTCATTCCTCCACATACATTCAATGTAGCCAGACGGGCTTCCGCAATCCACTTTTCACCCCTCCGGGGGACATGACGTGACGGGTGGTGAACCTCGTCGCCGGTTTTCCTCCCGGAGATTCTTCGCACCCCTGCCCCATTATGGGGCGCCGGGAACTCGGGGTCATTTCGTATTTTTTTTGCCTCATGGTGCGAAAGTAGGGTGTGGTATTTTTTTCGCCGCTACCACACGGCGAGAAGCCGAGTCTGTTCTTTCGGCTTTGTCGCTTGTTTAGCACCACCTGGGAGACACGTGTAGGGTGGGCCTGGGATTAGGTTGTCGAAGCCTACGGACGCGAGCGACTCATCCCTCAATGATGTATCAGTTAAATAAAATTAGCAATAAGATAATAATAACATTCATACCTTGATAACTTCTTCACATTAAAAGTAAAATAAATTGTACATTTTATTTTACTTTAAATGTGAAGTTGTTTTTTTCGCGCGCACCGGTCTAGCGCTGTGGAAACGTATATGCTATAGGTCGGAATTTGTCGTTTGGATTGGCCAGCCTAAAGTCTCGACATGATCCCATAGAGCATGCCTGGGACGTTCTGAAGCAACAAACGGGACTAGTGCAGCTGGCTCCGCAGACCATTAGACAGCTAAATAATGTGATTACCGCGAAGTGGGAAGGTATTTCGCAAGAAACCTTAAGAGATATTCTCACTGACATGCCCAGACGAATGCAAGCTGTGATTTCTGCAAGAGGATATTACACTCCATACTAAACTTTTATTTGCTTTTACTTTCTTAAAGAAAAACAAACAAAAATAAAGTGTTTTATTTTTGCTCAGCGAACACGTACTATACAAGCTTTATGGTATTTTTTGAGGTAGAAAAATAAATTGTCCATTTTAGAAATGTATTTGCTTTACAAATATAATAACTCGAATTTAAATATAAAATGCACTGGGAATAAACCAGAAGAAAGAGAAACAATTGTGTATATTTATGCAAATAAGTGCTTAATGTTTTGCTTAAAATTTAAATGCGTCCCTAGGGTTAATAAAGGGCTCAATTCCTGAAAATTTAGTATATAAGTTCTAAATGTCTCGTTAAAACCGGATTTTGATCATAATTTTAGATTAAAAGTGAACATGAAATAAGTTGGTATATCTAGTACTTTCATTAAAGTAAGTAAAATAACTAGTGCTCTAGCAAATTAAATACAACAGTTCAATAGTCCATTTCCATGTTTATCAGACGTCCACGTTTTTCAAACGCAAGTAGCCAAACATTGGCAATCATACGGCGCATAAGATTGTTTATACTCGTATTTTTATCATAGATATCTAATAAATTTCTACTGTATGAACTCAATGTGTTAAAATCTTTGGAGACAGATCGCATCTCATCAAAAGCGTTCAGGATGTCACCAAGATTAAGCAGTTGTATTCGGCTTGCCTTGGATCCCTTTTTACATTTATTTATTGGGTGGGATAAGATTAATTTTTGAAGAAAGTTTTTTTAATCTATCATTTTATTAATCTAAATCGGTATGTACATGACCTTTGAAATGTCTTCTGCTGTTTACACCGTCCTATATATCTTCTAATTTTATTTTAAACTATAAGATTTAAATTTTGACACAGTTCAAGTACAGTAATTGAAACTAACTACACCGATAACTTAGTCTACATCAGTAGATATACACTGAATATCGTGTTACGAAATTACTTATATATAATATTTGCAATTATGAAATAACATTATATGTAAATTTGCAAATTTGTAAATATGTAAAAATGCAAATACTTTTTATTTGCGTTCTTCACTGGGCTGTTATGAATAATGATAATATAATTATCTTTTGTAAATAATTCATCGAAACGAAAAATTCGTTCACTCGCAAGGGACAGAATTATTTTAGAAGGAACTTCTTACGATATAAGCAATAAAATATGTCTCTCTGTTAAATGAAAGTTTTTTGTGAACGTCGTATCATCGGGCCCTTGTCTAATTTTGTAGGAATAATGAAAAAAAATATCTATCTGGCTTTCACTTGTATCTCACGTCTACCTCTTATTATTAGACGTAATTGTTTTTGTGATTATTTTTAAAGTAAATTTAAATATTCATACTTGTATATTTCTTATTCTATAAATAACTTTAAAATTAAATTTTTGTTGTCTTCGTTAAAATAATTGCTATTTTAATCTTGTAATATTCATTGAGGCTAGAGTTATGAAAGAACTTTAAAACCAAAAAATCTACATTATTGCATCTGAACTAAAACTTTTGATATTTTAGTTAAACTGCAGTCAAAGTCAACGCATTAACGCCTACGAGTCCTGTACAAGGATTCGTTTTGGCAGCGATCCAATATAAGTATCAACAGGTTACATTTACAAAACGAGCCCGTTATATTGTTGAATAAATTGAAATTCTTCTAAAAACTGACCATTCGCCGGTGCGAAGCTGTATATTACAAACACACACTTTTGCCTCTTATTAGTTTGCGCACTTTTGCATTATTAAGTCCTGAGTGACGGCCGCGATATGCGAAACGTCGCAATCTGTGATTTCATACCAGCGTAAAATAGCAGCTCAACGCTGCTGTGTTTCGTATGGTGAGTGTAGAGAACCGGAGAGCCCATTTTACTGGCAACGAGGTATTCCTTCGAGGTTCTCAAGGGTAAACGCATCTGGATTTTGATCGATCGATTTTCTTAATCGAATATAAGTGTTTTTTTTATAAGATGAGGGGGACAAACGAGCACACAGTCCACCTGATGGTAAGTGGTTGCTGCGGCCCATAGACATCTACATCTATCCTCATTTGCGAATCAAAATGCAGATGCGTTGTCACCCGTGAGGGCTAAGATGGAATGCCTCATTTCAGTAAAAAGGGTCTCCGGCCACCTGCAAAAAGTGTAGATGTAAATGATGGAAATGTAGATGTAGTCTATAGGCCACAGCATCTACTTACCGTCAGTTGGATTGTGTGCTCGTTTGTCACTCCTATTCTATAAAAAAATCGCCAATCCAATCCACATTCACAATTCTAATTTATTAATTCTAAAACTAATCCATTTTTTTCCGGAATCGATCTTTACATTTATTTTTATATAATTACTGCGAAGACAAATCCGCCGCAAGCGTGACGATTAAGGTGAATCCCTCCTAAACGACGCATGTCCAGCAGTGGACTAACAAGAGCTGATGAAGAAGAAGAAATTTACGTAATTTTTATAATTTGATGATTTCGATTTATACAAACAGGTTGACAATTTCATGCTTGAAATTCTGCTGTAAAAATCTGAGCGGAAAAATTGTTGTCAAGTTGCTGGTGGCAAATAGAAATGAGTCACCGGTACTAAGAACAAAGCGTGTGACGATTAAAGACAAAGGCAAATGTTTATTCTCTACATGCAAAAGTAAACTTTTATCATTGGTAAAAGCTGCTTTTAAATTTTTAATGACGAATTTCGTTGCCTTCGACATTTCTCATTAAGAAGTTTCGGCTGAATATTGAAATTTAAAACACTTAATAAATTAATTGTTACTAATATACCCTATGGATCATATATCCTATCATCATAATACCCTATGGATCATCATATTACAATTGTTTTAAATCATTAAGTGTGACAGTCTACCTGATGGTAAGTGAATGTGTGTGTGTGTGTGTGTGTGTGTGTGTGTGTACGTGCGTGTGTGCGTGCGTGCGTGCGTGCGTGCGTGCGTGCGTGCGTGCGTGCGTGCGTGCGTGCGTGCGTGCGTGCGTGCCTGCGTGCGTGCGTGCGTGCGTGCGTGCGTGCGTGCGTGCGTGCGTGCGTGCGTGCGTGCGTGCGTGCGTGCGTGCGTGCGTGCGTGCGTGCGTGCGTGCGTGCGTGCGTGCGTGCGTGCATGCGTGCTTGCGTGCCTGCGTGCGTGCGTGCGTGCGTGCGTGCGTGCGTGCGTGCGTGCGTGCGTGCGTGTGTGTGTGGCCTATGAATACCTTTCTTTTCTATTCTAAGCCAGCGCTTAACTAAAGGGTGTTTTTTAAGAGCTTGAGAAATTTAAATAATAACACAAGACAGAAATATTGTTGGAATGATTTTTTTATTATTATAATCTGGTAGATAATTTCATGGCATTTATTTTTTTAAATATGATTTCCGGCATATGTTAACAGCGCCTACGAGTTACATAGTCCATTCGATCAGTCCAACTTTTCACTACTTTTTCCAATAAATCTGGCCGTATGGCGTCAATGGTGGCTTGAATATTGGCTTCCAATGTTTCAAGAGTTGCTGATTTGTCGGCATAAACCAATGACTCAACATATCCCCATAAAAAGTAATCGAGAGGTGTTAAGCCGCACGAACGAGGGGGCGAGTTAACAGGACTACTTTTGGAAATAAAGTTGTCACCAAATTGATTTTGCAATAAATTTATGGTTAAGCACGCTGTATGGCAAGTTGCGCCGTCTTCTTGGAACCAAATTTCGTCGATGTTTAGCTGATTAATTTTTGGAAACAAAAAATCTGTCAGCATGGCTCGATATCGCTCGCCATTCACCGTAACGGCAGCGCGTTCCTCATTTCGAAAGAAATAAGGACCGAAGATGCCACCAGCGTGTAAACCGCACCAAACATTCAATTTTAATGGATGTAATGGTGATTCGGTAATGGCATGAGGATTGTCTTCGCTCCATATACAGCAATTTTGCTTATTCACGAAGCCATTTAAGCAGGAATTAGTTTCATCACTAAACACAATTCTTCGATAAAAATGCTCATCTTCGGCCAGTTTCAAATTAGCCCAATCAGCAAAAATGCGACGTTAACGATGGTCATTTGGCTTTAATTCTTGCACGAGCTGTATTTTATAGGCACGTAAGCCAAGATCCTTACGTAAAATTTTCCACGTAGTCGAAGGACAAAGGCCAACGAGTTGAGAACGGCGACGAATCGACATTTCGGCGTCTTCTTCAACACTTCGCGCTACACCAGCAATATTCCCTTCGGTATGCACATTTCTTTGTCTTGTTGATGGCTTTGAATCGAGAAGAGTAAAATTAGTGCGAAAACGATCAATAACTGCACGAATTGCTTGCTCGCTAGGCCCATTATGTTGACCGTAAAATGGACGAAGTGCTCTATGAACTTCGCGAACATATCTATTTATTCCAAAGTAAATTTCCACAATTTGGAAGCGCTGTTCTGGTGTTAAACGATTCATGATAAATTGCCAAATCTTACTGAACAGAAATGTCGACACAGTTTGACATTCTTAACTATTAAATCATAGACAACAACCATCGTCACTTCTCATGCAGCTAAAAAAACACCCAATACAATCCCACCTGATGGTAAGTGGTGATGTAACCTAAGATGGTGAAGCGCACTGACTTTTAATTGGCTATTGGCTGGCAATTTATTCCACTCCTTTGCTGTACGCATGACGAACGATGTAGTAAACCAGCTAGTTCGAATGCGTGGTAAGTCAACAACGAAAAAAAAATGGAATGCCGCGTTACTAGTAATAAAATACTTTTTTAGTACAAGCTCTTAATGCGCTAAAAAGAATAAAATAAACTTTTCCTTTAAAATATTTACAATCAACTTATAATGTCATTACGCAATTTATATGACACAAAACTTGTTGCGAGAGTACTCGTTCTTAGTTTGAAAATTATAAAAATTAAAACCAATGAGATCAAATTATTTAATTTACTTGTTTATCTATACAGGTAAATCTTACGACAGGCGTTTATGTGTCATATAAATTGTGTAATGACGTTATAAGTTGATTGTAAAAGTTTTAAAGAAAAAGTTTATTTTATTCTTTTGAGCGCGGTAAAAGTTTTAAAAATAGTTTTTTTTTACTTTTAATTTATTTTTTACTTTTTATTTATCGCTGAACACGTTTCTCAGTCGCTTCATCTCATTCAACGCATCATTGTTGCAATTTCGAATAGTCTAGCTCTTTTCAGACGGATTGAAGCAACGTAGGTTATGATCACCATCTTATTTTTGGAACGAAGTTCCTTATCGGACGGTACGGGAGATAGGCGACAAAAAGTGTAAGATTTTTTCATCATTACCCCTTGTGTCATAGTGAAGACGGCCTTGGCGGCGAAATAAGGAAGTGAGATGGAATAATATCTATCTCCCTCGCACTTTTCTTATCTTGCCATAAAAGAAATATTATTTTAATTCAAATGACGCTTCATTTTAATAGACGCTAGTAATTCATTTATTTGTATTTGTTTATCAATAATATAATACCTACGTTTATCAATAATAATATACTACGTAAGGAACTTCTTTCCAACCGAGTGTTCCACAACACTCACGCATTTTTTTTAACTCGCATTAATATTCTCAGTAAGTTCTTTCACTTGATACCCATATTGTAGGAAAGCATAAAAAACTTAGTCCGCCATCTTTGGAAATCCTCCATATTAAATTTAGAGTAACGTCACTTTATTTCGAGTTATTCTCAGTAAACCCTTTTGTGCACGACGCAACAATATTAAACAAACGAAAGAAAATGCTTATTGTAACCGGCGCTAGTTGAACAACCTAGGAGCGGTGGGCGGAGCCATGACGACGGTGTAATTATCAGGCCACGCCTCTGGTTCGACAACTAGCAAGGGTTATACGGCGGAACTAGCGCAACCTTATGTTGAATTTAAATTATAATTTGTGTAAATAATTGTATTACTTGTATCGAACGATAAAAAATAATGATTGTATTATAACTAAGTTTAAGGTTGAGTTGTAACTGTGCAATAACTCTCCCAAATAAAGGCACCGTATGAACAGGGAGAGTTAGCATAGTCTTCTAATGAAAACTATAATTGTTAAATATAATAAATGTTTACTTTATTATATAATAAATATATTAGGCCGTTAGGCACATAAAAAAAATAGTAGTAGTGTAACCAAAGAGCATGTTATCGTGACGCGGCCGCGGAGCAAATGAAGCCACGCGCACCGCGCCACGACGTTTTATATTTATAGTGCTGACGCGGGGGGAAGGATTCTCCGCCTAAAGCAGCTGAAAATTATAATGTAAACCTGTAAATAAGTAAAAATATTGATATGTACACCCTAGTCTAACAAGTAGTTATAAGAATATTATATAGTGAATTATGTTTATTAGTTTGTAAGGTTATTAAATAAATAAAGATAGGCGCGGGGGTGAGGCAAGGGTCCGCTGGCCAGCAGCGGCCAAATCATATAAAAGACGGGCCGGCCGCTAGGGTCAGCAGTCGCTCTCCAGCCACCGAAAAGGCACCAGCAAGAAAAGAAAAAGTACAAGTTCCTCCTCACCGCCGCTTGCCTCCAGTTAAAAGCAAGACCAGCGCGTTTTATTCCATTTTTCGCACGGCATTACGGCGATCCGTAATATTAATGGTCCTTCGAGAAGCCGGATTACTAGAAGAAAAAGACAATATCGGTCTTGGTATTGCCGGAAGAAAGAAGCAAACCGCAAGAACGAAAAAATATTATTGTTAAGAAGAATGGTGATTACGCGTAGTAACAACGGAGAATCATCGAAGCGTCGCAAGGATGAACAAACAACCCAGGGGGCCACAGAAGAGGCCTCCGGGGGCGACTCAGCCGCTAGTGGTTCAACAAACACCACTAGCCAAACCACAACGGTCAGCGATACGACCGCTACCTCGGCAACCGATAGAACAACCGCAACGGAAGAAACCCAGCAAGAGGGTGATCAAAGATCGCAGTGCACATTGAAGCCCGGCGAGACTAGGTCACGCCGCTCCGTAGCCTCACGCAAGAGACTCCTCGCGGAGTTAGAGGCGAAAGAGCGGTTAGCCGAACTCAAGCTCGAGCAGGCTCAGTTGCAAGCAAGAACAGAATTGCAAGAAATACACGTGCAGCGACTACAAGCAGAAGCCGGATCAACCGATGAAGATGAAGAAATAGAAGACGATTTGGCATCAGTGCGCATTAGTACATGGTTGCAAGAAAAACCTACGCCTCAGCCCGCGCCACAACCCGCGCCACAACCCGCGCCGCAGCCCGCGCCGCAACCCACGTCGTACTTCGCGCCGCAACCAGCACTGCAGATCGCACCACCCGTACTTCAACAGTGTGCGCCGCAATACGCTCCGCAACATACCGCGCCGCAGAAAGAAGACTATGGACAGGCGCAGCAGCAAATCGACGTCGCTACCTTAGCCGCTGCTCTATCACAAGCAGTACGAAGCACAAGGGAGCCGCCGAAATATATACAAGAGCTGCCCTCATTCAATGGTAGCAGCAAGGAGTGGCTCAGCTTCAAGACAATGTACGAAGAATCTTCAAAGTACTTCACGGCGAACGAAAACATAGCGAGAATACGCCGAAGCTTAAAAGGGACAGCAAAAGAAGCCGCAGGTTGCCTACTTATAAGCCAACCAGATCCCAGAATTATAATAGAAGCTTTGGAAAGGAGATTCGGACGACCAGAAGCGTTAATTCACTTGGAAATAGAGAAGCTGAAGCTACTGAACAAAGTTACGGACAATCCCAGGGAGCTATGCATATTCGCAAATCGCATAGCGAACGTAGTGGGCCCCGTGGAAGCACTCAAGAAAGCACACTATCTGCATAGTCCAGAAATGACGCGAGTTATCACAGACAAACTCACGCCCATATTGAAAAGCAAATGGTACGACTATGCAGCCAGAAAGAAAGAAGATATCCCAGAGCTTAAGAAGATATCAATGTTCTTAAACGAAGAAGCGGATAAATGCAGCGCGTATGCCTTGCCGGAGTTCATCGCAGAGGACAGCGAAACGAGAGAGCGAAGACCGAGAAAAATAGAACGTGCCTTCGCCACAAGCAAGAAACCATATGAAGAACGCTGCCCTCAATGCAAACAAGAACACAAACTGCCCGATTGCAAGTCATACGCCGCTCTGTCCACAAATGACAGATGGGAAGTAGCAAAGAAGTACAATATCTGCTACCGCTGTCTGCGAGGCAAACATCGTCGATTACTGTGCAAAGCTCCACCGTGCGGAAAAGGCGGATGCATGATGAAACACCATAAATTGTTGCATCACGACAGAACAGCAGTAATGGAAAAAGAACCCGCTATGGAAACCGCAACATCGGCAAAGGAGGTCAACACAGCGACTCGACCGGACAAGCACCGCCGCGCTTACCTAAAGATTGCGCCCGTAATAGTAATAATAAGGGGGCCGCTAAGCTGCGTCGAAACATACGCATTATTGGATGAAGGGAGCACGGTCACCTTAGTCGATGCCTCAATCGCCGACGTCATCGGCGCCGACGGCCCAGCCCACACAATGTGGATACAAGGGGTCGGCTCGGAGGTGAAACACGAGAAGAGCAAGATCGTCAGCTTTAAAATAAGAGGAACGTACGCGCAAGAAGAACACAACATAGAAGCAGCGCGTACTGTAGAGCGGTTGGACTTCGCGCCAGAATCCGTGAATGAAGATCACTTGGGGAATTGCCCACATCTGTTGGATATCAAAGAGGATATCACCTACGAACGCGCCTCACCGAAAGTACTAATCGGGCAAGATAACTGGCACCTCATAGTGTCTAGAAAACTGCGCGTCGGCCGTCGAGACCAACCAGTCGCCTCATACACCAACCTGGGCTGGGTTCTGCATGGCTGTCATAGCTCATTGACGTCGACGGTCACCTTCTGCGGCAGACTACATCAGAGGGAAGATGCACCACCGATAGAAGAAGAAATAAAAAATTATTTCAAATTGGAGTCGCTGTGCATCGAGCCGAGAAGACCGAAAGAAGATCCCGAGCAGCGAGCCATGCAAATATTGGACGAAACCAGCCAGAGGTCAGCGGACGGCAGATTCGAGACAGGGTTGTTGTGGAAACAAAAGGACTTCCAAATACCAAATAATTATAAAGAAGCGGAAAGGCGCCTGCACACCTTAGAGAAGAGGCTCGACCGAGACAGCAATCTCAAGCTACAGTACGAAGAACGCATCGAGAACCTCTTCAACTCGGGTTACGCAGAGCGCGCGCCAATGCCACCGCCGCAAGGAAGGACATGGTATCTGCCACACTTCCCAGTCATCAACCCTGCGAAACCGAACAAACCGCCGAGATTGGTACACGACGCCGCAGCGAAGACAGCCGGAATATGTCTCAACGATATGCTTCACTCGGGGCCCGACTTATTACAATCACTGCCCGGAGTGATCATGAGGTTCCGACAGTATCCGT